GAGCTGTGTCCAGGTCTGCGAGTGCAAAGTTGCACGAAACGTTGGATTTGTTGGTTAAAAAAAAGGAAAGGCTTGAGTGCCTGGCGTCACATGCAATCGAATGTGCTTGGTGTTCAGGAGCAGTTGGAAGATGAAATAGCTTGTCTTGGCTGCTAGGGGTACACGGACAAGTGCTAGCAATGGATAAAGAAAATAATTTTGCAATGAATCAGGTTTGCACGGAAGGTTTTTCTGCCAAGATTGCTAAGGTAGTTCAGGGAGTATGTGATGAGGATGGCGACATGTGTATAAGGCTTGGGGGAGTCTGGAACGTGTCGTGACATGATCATGCAAACACAGGGCGTCAAGGCAATGCACGGATGTGCGAGGCGGACACGACGTAGGGTGGAGCATGTTTGCAGTTGGATAATTTCGGCTGGGTCGGACTGGACTGTCTGACGGATCGACGGGGATGTCGGTCAAAGCAGGAGACGGCGGTTGATTTCAACGACGACGACATAGGAGCGTGATGCTGATCGTGGCCGACTTCTGGGGCGTGGAAACACGTGGTGCAGACCTGAGGGCTTCTGCGTCTTCGACAGACTATGGCGCGGGGTTGATTCAAGATGGTGCGCACAGGAGAGCTTGAAGTCGACAGGGCGCGAGAGGGTGGCACGTACAACCACCATGGAGTCATGTTGAAGGTGGAGTTGGAGTCTGATGGACGACTTCACTCTGTGCTGATGGAGGGGCTACGGCGTAAATACATGAAGAGTCGAAGCCTATTTCAGCGGGATAGCGAGAGAAATATGGATCGGACTGGGGCCCAATGGTCTGATGAAGACGTGATACTCGGCATCGGTCGGTAATGATCGGTGGTTCTCTGCAGTGGGGGTTGAGGCAGTGTGGGCTAGATACCCGGGAGACTCGACCAGGACAGCAGAGGCTCGACACGATGATAACGGCGAGGCGTGCGGTAAGCACGGGACACAGCGACAGAGCAATGCACTGATGGTCAGACATGTGGATAGACAAACTGTGCAGGGGGTGCTGAAGCAGTGTTGACGAGTACCGGACTCAAGTTGGTGACTAGGTCTATCGGTGCTTGTTGATGGACAGGAGTTGACGGTGGAGAATCTGAGAAAGTGGTGGAAAGTCTGAAATTGTCAAAAGCTGAGAGAGTCATGGTCGTATATTCTGTGGTGTTCAGTGCACATGGCAAAGTGCGGATGACAAGTACAAAAGGAGGCGGAGTGCTATAGCTGTGGGACATGCCAGAGACTATCCTGAAGAAGGGTGAGACAACTGCGAATTTGACTCAGGGTGACACAGGTCGACGGTGAAATTCCCTCAAGTTTCAGACAAGCAGTCAAGAAAGAGCAGTGACGTTGAGTTCAGGTAACTCTTATATGTGGCGTGCAGTATGTGAGTTGTTCATTTTCATGCAGACAGTGGTCAATGTGTGATGGCGTTGAACGGATTCTCCGGAAGTTGGAAGCACAAGGTAAAGTAATGAGGAACTTAATTTTGCTCGAGTGTTGACCTTGGTCAAGAAAAGAAGGGACTACAAGTTACAGGTGGAGTCACATGGAGTCTTTGGAGTAGCAGCGGTGCTCATGGGATAAGCTCAAGTCCAATGTACATGAAAGTTTGACGCATGGACGAACTCAAGGTGGTGGAGAATATTCGCCAAGGTGGAGTTTGTTAGAATTGTGTCGAATATTATGTACAAGGTAGGTTACAGTTGGACTCTGAGTAGTATTGTGTTTAGATAGGATATGGAGTCGTGTCCTAGTAGGACACTTGTATCCTAGGCCTCTCATATATAGCGAGGGTAGACACACGATGTAACCTATGCCAACATAATAGCACGGGCACGCGGGGGAGCCGGCGGCGTGAGACGGCGCCCGGGCGGCCGGAGTGCGGTAATGTAGCGGTGTCAGGAGTGTCCGTAGTCATGCCCCGGGGATGTAGTCATGATGGTGAACCTCGTTAACAAATCTCGGTGTCGTGCTTATGTGATTGCTTGGTCCTCGAATGATCAACGGTCGGATTTATTCTAACATAACCCACTTCCATTAACTGAATAACGGAAATACAAAGTTCTGAATCAGCATAAGATGGGACGGGAAAGGGGATAGCGAGTTTAGCATCGCCGGAAAAAACACCGCAAGAGCTCGCCCGCTAGACACTCGCTATGGGATGCTTCCGGGCATAGCAGACGATATTTTCTGTACATCTTTCTGGTCGATGTATTCAGGACACTCTCTCTTCTTGAGTGGGCTGCACGCATGAAGATGATGCTGATGGTGTTGGGCACCCTAATCACCAGAACATGTCCTGGAACGGGAAGCTCCCCAAGGGTGAATAAACAGTTAATGCATCACCAGCTCTCTCCCAAAAGGAGGCAACACATATTTACCCTGATTAATTTGGAAGTACTCCCTCCGTTCTCAAATATAAGTCTTTCTAGAGATTCCAATAAATGACTACATATGGAGCAAAATGAATGAATCTACACTCTAAAATATGTCTACATGCATTCATATGTTGTAGTTCATTTTAAATGTCTACAAAGACTTATATTTAGAAACGGAGGGAGTAGATGCCAAGAACATCAAAGTTCCAGGTATCTCTGCTCCTCCTCAGTTTCTAGATACATATATACTGCACAGTATGGTCCACATATACACTATCAAGAAAACGTCTTACATTAGGGCATTTTAAACCTGATTAATTTTGAAGTAGCGTCCTATCTCTTTTTGGATACACATACCAACATGCTGCACAGTATGTCTTGAGAAGAAGTTGTAGCTTTCTCCCTTGTTTCAGATATTCTTTTGGATTGTGGTGTGAAGTGCGTGTGTTTGCATTGTGTGTCTGCATTGTGTGTCTGCATCTTTAGTAATAGATCTTCAGCTGTTATTGATCCACAAAATTCTGCCCCATTTTTTAAGGAGAAAACGGAACATTGTCTAATTAATGAATTTAGACAGGGGCTCTTCTTGTTTCCCTGCAGATGCTTCAGTGCAGGATGAAAAAAAAAGCGTGTTCTGGCTGACGATTCGGACACTCTCAAATGGAAGCGTGAGGTTAACATCTGGACAGTGGGTGGAGATGCACATGCATGGAATTTGTCCACGAAACTGCCGCCTGCCCGCCTAGATGAAAACGACAGGAAAACTTCAACACGGCTGGTGCTGATGTAGCATCCGAAGTGTAGACAGTTAATGACAACGCATGGGTCAGTCAAGTTATACAAAGGAGACGACAAAGTGGGCAGGTGTGTAAGTAATTTAAGCCATAAATTAAAAACTCTACTACCTAACGCCAACTAAAAGTTGGCATTGCCTGTAATTTTTCACTAAAATGTATGCTTCATATTTCTGTAGCAGATGGATGTTAATGTCATACGTCTACCTGCCTAACCCCAGCACCCAATAGCTAGCTTAGCTAACTCGTCCTCATATCTAGCTAGAGCTGAGAAAATAACCAAGCAACCTCTTGGCTTCTTTCCTTTGTGAATAACAAGGGTTCAACTTGTAGTGTTGTCTATATTTTATTAGCCAATAATTGCACAACTTATTCTACTACACCAACAGAAAAGTACAACTTGTGTTATACTGACAATAGTAGTCTTGGAAGCAGTAGGTAAGCAGGCGGCAAAAGATTAGTAATTTAATTAGAATAACGATGCATAACTCATCAGCGTCTAGTGCTAATATAAGGTTAACTAAGCAGGCGTCCTTGGGGAGGCTCCGAACGACGCACTCCTCAATTAGTTGCTCCCTCAGTTCGCTCACTGGCATCCTCAGCAGCATGGGTCGCATGCCCACTCGGCCCAATGCCTATCCCTACCTAACCTGTGTCTGACCCAACCATTTGAATTAGCGCAATTAACCTGGCCACGCGATCCGCCTGGCTCGCCGCCATCATCGCCACCGGTGGCCCTACCGGCGCCGCCCCAGCCGATCTTCTCGCCCTCTTTGTCACCACCTTCCAGCCACCTGCATCAAGTAGTCCTGCAATGTAATCACCGACAAAATCTCCTTGGGGATAGGACCTTGAAAAGGAGGATAGCCCCCGGCCTCTGCATTAGAATGATGCATGCAGTCATCTATTGCAATAATTTTCAGATACATACTTCTCTTTTGTATGACACACCATTATATTGTACAGTAGTACGTGTTAGGAATGAACTGTAGCTTAAGCGACGCTATGTTGTTGCTTCTCGCTGGACAAGATTCGAGACGTTACTTCGGTAACAATGAATTTTCTTTTCTTTCTTGCACTCAATTTGAAATTATACTGTGAACGAGAGACCCATAATCAAATCGAAGTGTGAGGTTAAAATCCCGACTGTTTAGGGTTGAGATGCATATGCATGGAGTTTCTCCGCGAAACTCCCACCTGCTTTCCTAGAAAACAAGAGGAAATTTTCAAGACGGCTGGTGCTGATGCAGCATCCAACAATATCATTTTATTCCTCGGCATGATAGCAAACTGGAAAATCTTGACTTTTCACCTGACGGCGTGGGCCAGCCGCACTTTTTCCTTGCGCCGGAGCCCCCAAGCGCCCCCAGCGCGACGGGTTCGGTCTGCGGCCGACGGGCGGAAAAAAGGGCCGAACCGGCGCTTTTCGTCGTCCTGGGGGCGCGACTGGGACGTATTTTTGACGCCGGCGCCGAAAAAGTCGCCTGGGGGCCTGTTGGGAGCGCGGCTGGAGATGCTCTAAAGTGTATCTAAAGTGTACGGAGGCCACAGCAACTATCGCCCATCTACCGTCCATCATTACTACTGATGTATGATTTCCTGGCGAGTTGTACCGTACAGCGCAGCATATATTCATAATTTCGCTCTGTTATGCAGGCTAACCAGTACCCGCGGTTACGGCCTCGCTCTTTGTTTCTTACTCCCTCCGTCCCAGCCAAAAACGTTCTTATATTATGGGACAGACGGAATATCAAAGAACAAATTAAGTGCAACAATCTTTGGACAGATATGAAGCCTGTTGCATGAATTCATGCTTCATCTTGTTGACGGCAATACAGTTGGTACATCTCTATGAGCCCGTCCCTAAGCGCCACCTTAGGCTTCCACCCAAGCTTCCTCATCTTGGAGCTATCAATCAACCGCCTGGGCACACCGTCCGGCCGGCTGGCGTCCCACACCACGCGACCCTCGTACCCGACCACCTCCTTCACCATCTCCGCCAGCTCCCTCACGCTCATCTCCTCGCCACTCCCCACGTTCAGGTGCTCCAGCCCGGAGTACCTGTCCATCAGCAGCACCAAGGCTTCCACAAGGTCATCCACGTGCGTGAACTCGCGGAGCGCGGCGCCGGAGCCCCAGACCACGGCCTCGGGAGCGCCGGTGACCTTGGCGTGGTGGAAACGGCGGATGAGGGCTGGGATGACGTGGGAGCTCTCCGAAGGGAAGGGGTTCCGCGGGCCGTAGATGTTGTTGGGCGACGCCGCGATGGCGTCCATGCCGTGCTCCTCGCGGTAGGCCTGGCACATCTTGATGCCCGCGATCTTGGCGATGCTGTACCACTCGCTACCGGGCGCTGGCGGGCCGGACAGGAAGGCCGACTCCGGGATAGGCTGCCACGCGTCCTCGGGGTAGATGGTGGCGCTGGCGAGGATGAGCAGCTTGCGGACGGAACCGCAGCGCTGGGCGGCGGTCATCACGTTGAAAATGATGCCCAGGTTCTTGGTCAGGTACTCGGCCGGCGCGCTCAGAGCCGCGTGGACGCCGCCGGACTTGGCAGCACAGAGTATGACGTAGCGGGGCTGCTCGGCGTCGAAGAATGTGTCCACGGCGTGCTGGCACGTCAGGTCGAGCTCGGCGTGTGTGCGGACGACGATGCTGTTGAAGCCGAGCGCCGCTAGCTTGCGGTGGGCGGCTGTGCCGATCATGCCCCGGTGACCGGCCACGAATGTCTTGGCGGACTTGTCGCCGAGGAATGACATGCTACCCGTGGAGCACGTACGTACCCTGGTGAGCAAGCGTGATCTACACCAGACTTGCGCGCGTGGTGTCTGTCTAGTGCAATGGTGGCCTTAAATAGCAGCGCAATGCACCTCCGCCTCGTAGTGACTGACCCTAGCTACATAAAAAGTACGCAGTGCACACTTGGGCCTGGTCAGGCCAGCCCAGCACAACCTGGTCATGCTTCGGGCCACGTTGGGCCCAGCCAGCCAATTGTGGTATAGAAGGAACAACACCTTGGGGTATTCAAAACGGTGTCCACGCTCATCTACACTCGGTGAAAAGTAAATTCAAAACAATATGAAAAAAGTAAAGGAAGTCTAATTTTTTTACGCATCCAAGATAGCCATGTGAGCTAGGGGCATACGGAATTTCGTGGTGTTTGCACATATGAGAACTCATACAAAAAAAGGGTCCAAATAGTTTTCTCTTTAAAGTTTCTCATACATTTGACATGAGCTCCTTAGATGTCCAAACGCCACAAAAATTGCCATGCATCTTGCGCACATAAGCATATTGAATGCATAAAAAAATTCAGATTTGTTTTTACTATTTTATTTGAATTTACTCTTCACTCTCAGGTGCTGATGCATCTGGGTGTAGAATAGCCGGTCCGCTAACGTACCATGTTTAAATAAGAAAATAAACATGCAATATGATAAGAAAGACACCAGGGCTTCAAAATCTCTCCAAGCTTAACACTTTAGGATGACGAGATTCGTTCATCCCTCTAGTTGGTGGTACCACGGTTCTCTTCCATAGGAGGCATGGGGTGACGAGCAGGAGCTTGATGGAGCTGTTCATTTTGATTCCTTCATGCATGACGATTTGCGCGTTGAGCACATCCACCTTCTCCTCTAGTTGAGTGATGACCTACTACCCCAACTTCTCCTTAGTTTGATCCCGACCAACCGAGACATCAAGTGAGATAGTCATCCAAGCAAAGCACAAAGCAATGTCCTCTTTGAGGCCACAATTCATTGTCCTTGTCCTCTTTGTGCTTGCTTGTGTGTCCATGAGATAATCGACCTCATCCACTTCGGGACAATCATCCTCTTCGTTCTCTTGTTCTTCATCATACCTCTTACCATCATAATCCAGATTGTCAATACCGAGTATGTGCGATTCATGCGATCGAGACATAAAAGTTGCAACATCATGCTCTTCCACACTACAATTAATAACAAGCATGTCTAAAGATTGTCGCCGCAAACCATCACTAATATTCATAGCGAAAAAAATAAAAGAACATTTTTTTTACCTCTGGGGCATATCTTAGAACGCTTGGTGGACATGGGCCTTGGCTGCGACGACTGAACGTGCCGGAGAAGGAGTTGATGGGGTTCCTAGAGAAGGGCTACGAGGCAATAGAACGGGTGAAGGTAGACGCCTCGTTCCTTGTATTTCCCGCCACCTCTTTGAGGGCCTTTCCAGCCGTTGTCGGCTTCCTTGCATTCTTGCCATCAGCCGGAGCAAGAGGAGGGCGACCGAAAATCTTTGAGGCCGGTGCGACCTTGACACCAGCTTGTTCATGACACAGTGGTCCGCACGATGCCCTTTGTCCCGAACCGCTTCCTTGGTATGGGCGGCAGCGCATGGGTTGATTCCGACGGTGTAGCACCAGCGTGGTTGAGAAGGCGGCCCGCGGTCCCATTCTTGTTGGAATCGCAACCGCCGTACTAAGCAAAATAAGATGCATAAAAGATAAACATCACATGCAATCAAAATATGTGACATGATATGGCCATCATCATCTTGTGGTTTTCATCTCCATCTCCAAAGCTTCGTCATGATCTCCATCGTCACCATCTCGGCACCTTGATCTCCATCGTTGCGTCGTGGTCGTCTCGCCAACTATTGCTTCTACAACTATCCCAACGCATTGCGATAAAGTAAAGCAATTACATGGTGTTTGCATTTCATACAATAAAGAGACAATCATAAGGCTCCTGCCAGTTGCCGATAACTTCAAACATGATCATCTCATACAATAACGTATATCACATCATGACTTGACCAAATCACATCACAACATGCCCTGCAAAAACAAGTTAGATGTCCTCTACTTTGTTGTTGCAAGTTTTACGTGGCTGCTACGGGCTTATAGCAAGAACTGTTCTTACCTACGCACAAAACCACAACGGTGTTTCATCAAGTTTGCTGTTTTAACCTTCTTCAAGGACCGGTAGCAGTCAAATTCGATTCAACTAAAGTAGGAGAAACAGACACCCGCCAGCCACCTCTATGCCAAACTAGTTGCACACTACTAGGGAAAAGGCTAGCAGGCCGGTTTTAGGTATAGCAGCAACGTGGGGTGGCGCGTTACTAATACGGCGCTACAGCTATAGTATACCAGTAGCGTGTGTTTTCCCGCGCTACTGCTATACCTACTTAGCAGTAGCACTTTTGGTAGAGAGCGCTACTAGTAGTTACTAGCAGCGCGCCTCCCTACCGGCGCTACTACTATTGTTGCATATTTCTTTTTTGTTTTATGTCGTATTCATATGCCATTATACAAGTTTTCATACAGTAGCAATTTAGAGATTGTTTTTACATCAGAATGAGCTATTACATTATTGGGTGAAAGAACCGTGGATTAGTTTCATGTGCATGGATCCAAAGTGACCAATGGTCACTTTGGATCCATCCACTTGAAACTAAATCGAGGTTCTTTCACCCAATGACATAATAACTCATCATCATCATCATCATCATATCATTAACAACTTATCATCATAATACAACATTGTCATATAACACTTCCTCATGATCATCATTTATATCAATGAGACATCATATAGCAAGTTGGTCACTAGTCATAATCACAACTCCTCATCATCATCAACTCTAACACATTGCACCACATAATAACATTGTGCCTAGGACCTACTTCTCTCTCATAGGACCTACTACCTTCTCTTAGGTAAAATAGCATAAAATAAGATAGGCCTTGACTCTCCCTTATGGAGAATTGAGATTATCATGTCTCCAATTCTTGCCCTTCGCACAATGTTGCTTCCAAGTAGCTCCCTACGAGTGACCATACATTTTTTCCAATCTTTGATTGTCTATGTCTTCATTGGTTTTAGAAATCCGATCAAGAGTGATTCATAGGATGACCTAGCCGTATATTTAAAACATCAAGGCGACATTTCTGAAACATCAGATGAGGCGCACACACTCCTGCGGGATTATTTGTTGAAAAACATAGTAATAACTTTGTAGTTAGCAATGTAGTTCAGTTTTAGAAGAATTTATGCAAAAGATGCACATATGTTGTAATACTAAAAAAATCTTACCATGACATCTCCATGGATGTTAGCATAGTTCAACACGTGCACTAGTAGCACGTATTGACCATAATGTGGAGGAGTTTGATAATACATATTCTAATTCTCAAGATTAGTAATAAATGCGGTCAGATGATTTTTCTCCTAATAAGTTAATTCTGAGCCATCAGCTATCAATGGAAATAAGCTGTCAACTATTTTGAAATAAACAATATAAATTACTTAATAATTATGTTTGAGAAACTTACATAGCGGTAGAATTGGAAGCGTATCAACAAGAACCCAAATGTTCAAATTGTCTTCGGCGATGTCAGGATCACCAAGATCCATGGTGACAAGCATACCCTCATGAAAATCATACATCTTGCAAAGTGCTTCCCAATTCGGGCAATCAAAATGCGATACGCTCTAGAATTGTATAGGTTTACCTCAAAATCCATACCATGATGGATCCTTAGGTGAGTTTTCTTTGTGTTCCATACTTTCAAGATCTTCAAAATCCATCCTCTCCAAGACATAGCATCTTGCATGGCATGGGATAAGCTAGTCGAATTGTAAAAGACGAAAATTACGCATTGAAGTAGTAGAAGTCGAGCTTAATTACAAAAAAACACTTTGCATCATAGCGTACCTTTCCAACATCGCAGGTCTCCTCGAGCTTAATGCTGAAGCGCCGACCTTCTACCAAGTGAGGCCTGTCGCAGAAACCCCGATTGTCGCTGCACCAGGAGCACTCCACGAGACTTTCGTCCGACGACATTTCCTATGTTCATAATTCAAAGATTGGACTTCTAAAATTCAATAAATGTACTACAAAAACTAGTTTAGATCATTATTAATCAGCACGGGTTGACTATCGGTCCGTCGAATCTTTTTTTTGAAAATTCTCAACTCATGTGATGTATATATTCGACCGTTGGTGATGGTCGCTCCTCACCGAGTGCATTAAAACAAAATTCTAGGACACGGAAACGAAGGAGAAGCGACCCCCACGACAACAGTCGGCATTCTTCTTCTCTCATATATGGTGGACACATGATACGTCTCCGTCGTATCTATAATTTTTGATTGTTCCATGCCAATATTATTCAACTTTCATATACTTTTGGCAACTTTTTATACTATTTTTTGGGACTAACATATTGATCAAGTGCCGAGTGCCAGTTCCTGTTTATTGCATGTTTTATGTTTTGGAATATTTTTATGAAGCATAAAGCCATGCGAGCCAAGGACCACAGGGGAAACCCTTCTCCCATCTAGGGAGGAGGTCAAGGAAGAAGAAGAAGAAGGGTGGCTCTCTCCCCCTTGCTTCCGGTGGCGCTGGAACGCTACCCGGGGCCATCATCATCACCGCGGTCTACACCAACACCTCCGCCATCTTCACCAACATCTCCATCACCTTCCCTCATCTATATTCAGCGGTCCACTCACCCGCAACCCGCTGCACCCTCTACTTGAACATGGTGCTTTATGCTTCATATTAGTATCCAATGATGTGTTGCCATCCTATGATGTCTGAGTAGATTTTCGTTGTCCTACCGGTGATTGATGAATTGCTATGATTGGTTTGAATTGCATGTTTTATTATTGGTGCTGTCCTATTGTGCCCTTTGTGTCGCGGAAGCATGAGGGATTCCCGCTGTAGGGTTTGCAATGTGTTCATGATTTGCTTATGGTGGGTGGCGTGAGTG